TATGATGAATAAATTAATTATTTTAATATTTATTATTTTATTTGGTATCTGTTATTAATTTGATTTGATTAAAAAAATATAAAGTACACGTTTTTATTTTTCAAAGATTTATTTAATCTGTAATTTTTGATACATATAATATACATTGTATATATTTCTTATATAAGAAGAATTTTATTATTTTTTATTTTATATTATTATTTGAAACAATCAAACTTAACATAAATCGTTCAAAATAATTTATTTGTTAAATAGATATTGAAATTCTCATTTGCAAACATTTTTATTATGAATAAAAATTGATTTTTTTATTCCATTTAAAATAATTCGGATTTTTATTTCTTATTTTCATTTAAATGGAAAGTATTTAATCTTGTCGCAAATTGTGTCGGTATTTTGAAAGGCTTAGTATGGAATAATTGACTGCTGTTGGTCATTAGTCAAATGTTTATCTGGAGTTTATCCCCATGTCTCTCCTACAGGATTAGAGACTTTTTTTTTTATTTGAAATGGAGAAACAAATAAAAAGAATAAATAATTACTTCAATGAAATAACAAACGATGAGCAATGATTTATTACAAAATTTATTACATGAAAGATAAAGCTTTCCTTGCCTTTCATAAGTTACAATAAATTTTATAAACTTCAAATTAAAATATATTTTAATAATTTCTCGACGTAAATAGACGTAAATCGATTAAAAATTATATAATTTTGTTTAAAAAATTAAAATTAACTTTCACGATTTTATTTGCATTAATTTGCAAAAAAAAATTGTTCATATAATGTATTCTTTTACTAAACAACTTTTTATATAAATATTTTTTTCTATGACTTTATTTACTTACTCTGTTTCTTCTTTTTTCTTCTTCTTCTGTTTTACTGTTTCTTGTTCTTGTTTGCAGAAATATCCTGTTAATATTGGATCATTTTTCAGTGATCAATTTTAAAGAAGCCATATATAAAAATGTTAGTTAAAGCTTATCTATTAAGTTATATGATTTTTATTTAATTTAACTTTGTGTTCGATGAAGCGGAAATAGAGTAAGAAGAACATAGAATAGTCTTGTTCTATCTCGCTTCATTCAAAAGTTTCGATTACTAATAATTTAATAATTCAACAAAATAAGTTTCAACAAATATTATCTTCTCAACTTTTATTATAGCTTTTAGAATCGACCTTTTAAAGATGTTTTATGAATGTGTTGGATGAATTTTTCGAAATCTTCATGATCTTTCATTTTTCTAGAATAGCGATCGAGATCGATCATATTCTAATGTTATTTTACTTATAAAATTAATATTCACTTTTCCAAAATGATTTTAGATAGATTCAAGTCATTCGACGTGTAATTGTAACAGAATAATTTATAACATTATTTCGTGAAAAAATTTAACATACTTACCGAGGAAAAATTAAATATCATAATATCGGCGAGAAACAAATCAAACTGTATATTTCTCAAACCACGATCACCAAGATCGATAAATAAAAGAAGAGGAAGAGGAGACATGTTCAAACAAACTTGCGTGCGTATTTTCTTTTTTTTTATCTCTTTCTTCCATTCTTCCCGCGTCGCTCACAGTAATCGAGAGGGGGTGTCAGGACAATACAGCTCGTATTTCGTGCACGCCCGACCTGAACGGGTCCTGAGTCATACTCGTCCATTCAAACTTCTTAGACAACGAAACGGGGCGAGGGTTTTAAAGTTGCATTATTAGTCGAGATAGACGTCAAAGCTGCGAGTCGAGTTTGGGGTGCAGATTTGTTTTCGAGTTTGCTCGTGCACGCTTCGCTGCGTGGGCATTCGTTTAATTATCGAATGTAAATAGGTTCGTTAGGGTGGTGGTTTTTGTGCCATCCACCTCGATCCTCTCGAGAACGGAATGACTCGTCGTTGCATCCCCCGAAATTCCTTCATCCCTTCTCATACGATTTTGCAAAACGTAATTGACCACCTCTTTCGATAATGGCCGTTTCTTCAGATATTCTCTTTTTCATTTTATGATCTGCGTGTGTTGCTAGATATATATATATATATATATGTATATGTCTGTAAATTATTAACGGGATGTTGCAATTCACTGAGATACAGAGGAATTGAAGGGGATATCTTGAAATGGCCTTTTTCTAATTTGACATTTTGCAAATTAAAAATGAGATAATTTTTAATGGAGAACTTTTTATTTTTTGTCAATTTTAAATATATCGTTATATCGTTTGTTTTTAATTTCGATACGTAATACATTATCAATTCACGATCAAAATGAATGATTCATTAATTTTGTTCGTATTATTTGTAGATGTACTGCGGTTAAAAATTATCGAGTCATTAAAAGCTGATTATTATTTCTGGATTCTGGAAAGAAACATGCAGCATTTTATTTTGTATCAATTTTTATATATCTTTTTGTATATCAACCTTCGTTTTAATTTCAATTTTTCAAACAAATCCTATGAATTCATTAAAATCTCATATTTCTTCATTGACCATGTTTTATTGAAAATTTTAAAAATATAATCCTATCTATGGGGTATTCGTAAAAACCTTCAATTGTTTCCATGAAAAATCATTAATATGCTTGATTCAAAAATTGTTTTTTTAAATTTTAACACAATAGGATCATTTTTCAAAATAATAATAATCATTATATTTGCGCATCAATTTTTTTTTGTCTCCAAATTAATTTTTTTTTATTTTATACTCGATATTATTGATTTATTTGTTTCAAATTCTTGAGAGTGGACAATCAGATTTTTGGTGGATTATACATAAAACAACTTGTAAATATAAAATCAATATAGCTAGACTATCATCTATTATTTGATAATTATTAAGAAGATTATATAACTACATGTTGTAACATTATATAGTATCAAAAGTTTATAATTAATATTTCAGAAATTAATAAAATTAATAATACTCAAAATTTTAGATTTAAACACCACTTCTTTCAGAAAACATTTTTTCATCCACTATTTGCTCATTTCTGTCGAATACCTGTGCCTTCTTCAATGAAGTACGAATAGAAAAATAGACTAATCGTATCAATATGATGCAATATATAGATGATAAGAAATAAATTGAATATTCAGTTGATGGCAATGTAGCTAGTGTCATGTCACTATCATTTACTGCAGCTTGTCACGTAAATTATAATAAACCATGCGATGTCAAGTCTACGGTTTCCAATAAGGCAGATACAACGTTTATCTTTCGGCCCAAGTTAACAAAATTAGCATCCCCCAAGCAAGATAATATTAGCCAAAATAACGAAGGGACAGCTCACATAGAGGAATGCTTGATTCTTTTTTGGTTACATACGTTCTGCATAAATAATTCTTGCGAGACACACGCGTACTTTGTCCTCGCAAGTATCTAAAGATAGAACTACTGCGAAGACGATATTCCATCCCGTGTGAATTTCCAAGGGTTGCTCTCGAAACAACCGTGAAGAAGAAAAACAAGAAAAAAATGAGAAAAGTATGAGCAGGAAGAAAAGGAAGAAAGGGAGAAAAAACGAAGAAGAAAAGAAAGACACGATTTTTCTTTTATTTTCTAAAAGAAAATTTTCATCAATTTTTTCTTATGACTAAATATTTTGAAAATATTTATGGAATGATATAATTGATCGATCTTATAATAGTAAGTTGCAAGTATTCGAATATTAAAGAACAATGTTTGAAATCTTGAAAAAAATTAATTTTTTAAATTGAGTGAACGTGATAAATTTATTAGATTTATTAGAAATTTTTCATTTAAGATTAATATTTTTGATAATATAATTCTTTATATTTGGATTTAATTATACATTAATAAGTATATCTATTTTATAAAATAATATATTATTTTTCTTCAATTTTCATAAAAACAAATATTATATTTTTAATATAATTTCTGTAAGTTGATAATGATTTGTCAATTACATTTTATATTACACATTTTGATAATGGTTATACTTTAATTATAATGATTCTTCTGTAGCAATTGTTGATAATTATGTTTCTTTTGTTTAATAGACATTTTATGCTTCAATTTTAATAGAAAGTTTTTAAAAAGTTTCTTATTAAAGTGAAATTTATTTTGTAATTTTTAAAAAATATTAGTGAAAATTTGAAGATTTAATACAATAGAAATTTAATAATCAATAAAGATTTTATTCTATTTTTGATTATAATATAATAAAAGAAATGATAAATTAATTTAAATGAAAAGAAAAATATAAGTTATTTGATCTTTAATTAAAATTTTTTAAAGATTTTTCTTAAAGACTTTATAGATATGCATTAATTATTACACAGTTCCAGAAAACACAATTTATATATCGATTGCGATATTTGCAATTATCGCGAAACAATAAATTATTTGTCACTGTTTTATCTGACATTATCTATTAATCGCTTGTACAAGTTTATATTTCATAAAACTTTTCTATTAAATAATGTTTAACATAATTTATTTTCTTCAAAAAACAATTTGTACTACAAGTATAATTTTATCTTTGTAGAAAAGAAACAAAAGTTTTAAAAACATTCATAATATTTATATTTATGCAATACATTCTATGTGAAATTCCTTAATTTTGTAATTTTTTTATTTATCTCTTGATCAAAAAATAAAATGGATATGCCACATTCGTATCCTATCCTTTATATTTAAACAACTAGAAATAGAAATTTATTAGAATATTAGAATAAAATAATTCTATTAATTATCTATATCATTTTCCAAAATTCAAAATATTATAAAATAAGAATTCACCGAATCGTGCCTTTTTGATCTTTACAATATAACACTAATAAGAGATTCGATTAATTTCAACATCAAAGTACTTGAAAACAAATTTTCAAAATTTACAAGTACTCATTTCAAAGTTTAAAATCAAGCATCAAGTATTCCACGTACTATTTCACTATAAATAACATCTACCATGAAATTACTTTTTAACATTGGATTTGACCTGGATTTATATATTGAACTTGATCTGTGGGGCGCGGGAAAATTAGAGGAGACGCGACGGTTCACGTAGCGATCGTAATGCACGAACGAGCTGTCGTAGCGCGGTTCGCAAGGTTTATTACCGCGCATGCGCGCTCCGATCCGCACATGGACCGCGACTAGAAGCATCCCCTTGTTTTCCGTGTCGTATAGTCGTGTAACGCGTGTCTCATGGTGTCGCGTCACACCGCGTGCTACGTCGCATCGCGTTAACGAACGACGAGTTTCATTGGAAAAGAGATAATTCGTCGTTTTGAGAAGTCCTTTAAAGAAAGTGAAAGAATCGCATTGTCGGAAGAACGAGGAGGAAAAGAAAAGGAAACGAAATCGAACGGTTGGAACGAGGAATTGGAGCATCGAAAGGAAGAGCGGAACGGCGGAAGAGTGAGCGCGAAACGGAAGAAGGGAACAGGGGAACGGGACAGTGGAACGGGAGAACGGAAGGAAGACACGCGTGCCAGTTGCAAGAGAACGGAACAGTCGGCCGGGATGGATCGGATAAAAGGGTTGGGGTGAGGGGGCTGACGAGTGAGGTGGTGGTGGCCGGTCGTCGGGCGCCGTCGGGCGGCGAGTTTTCAGTCTGTCCTGCGCCGTCGAAACGAAGGAAGCGCCGCTCGTCGTCGAGCGCGACGTCGAGCGCGACGAGCCGACGAGCCCGTGCCCTTCTTAGTTCGCGTTCGCTCGCCGTCTCGAGCGTCACATTTTCTCCTTTTGTTCAATTGCGCGGACGCGCGCACTCCTCGCTTTTCTCTTCCTCCTTTTCTCTCCCAATTTCTCCCAGTTTATCCTTATCCGACAATCACCACCAGAATATAACTTTATCTGGCCTCGAAATCTCGCCGTATCTCCGACGATTTTTTGTTGTCCGTCCTTCTCCCCTTCCTTTTCTCTCTCTCTTTCTTTCTCTCTCCGTTTCCTTCTATCGGTGTAACCGTCTGTTTACTTTTATCTTAATCTCTATCTCCGTATTTCGCATCTTTTGCTCTCTTCTCTTTCTTTCTTTATTTTCATCTTTGTTTCGCCCTTCCCTATACTATTCTCTCGCGCTTTATAGTCTTCTCTGTCCACGATCTAAGACTCCTTTCTTTCGTCCGCTTCCTTGATTACGTTCCTCCTCGTTTCTTACACGTTCTATCTCGTATTCATGGAAGATATGCCATTAAAATCGTCTAGTCGATAGAGACGAATGTTCGAAGCCGAATTTTCTCGAAAAGAATTGTGAGCACGGTAATTGTGGATTTTTTGCCACGGACTTGCTCCAGATTTTCGCATCGACCACCTTCGAATCAAGGTACGTCTGTCTTTATGATTTTTATCTTTTCATTATGATAAATTTTCATTGATGTGTAATGTAAACGTATTTCTCTTTATGCGAAACGTGCTTTTTGACAACCGTTCATTATACTACTTTTCCATTTTCGTATTGTTAACACGAATGTTGATTGTTCAAGCAAACCTTGCCATGATCATACTTAGAGTACAATACATTGTTACGTAAGATATTCGATTCAAGATAGCAACGAATTTTTATTCTATTCTTTTCTACTTTAAAATTCATTTTAAAGTATTAGTCGGCAGAAATATTTAAAGCTCGACATTGAATTTTTAACGAGCCGTTTCTATTGTAACTTGACGTTTCTAGTGTAACTTTAAAATGTTTTTAGAATGATTGTTATACGATAGTTATACGATTTTTTGTTTAAAAAAAAGAATTTAGTTTCTATGTATTAGAATTCTATTCCTGTAAAAAATTGTATTGCAAGAGAAATATCATTGATAGGTTCATCGATAGCTTTCATTTTAGTAATTTGTCCCGTGTGAATGAACTAGATTTGATGACAGAAATAAATCTTTTAATATGATGAATATAATGATATTAACGATATAATGATCGGTTATTATACTTTCGATAATTTGATATGGATTTCTATGTAAATATATACTTTTCACGCTACACGTATTTTGGATATTTTAAATAAACATAAATGAGTACCAGTTTTGTAAATGTAATAATTATGATAAATAAATATCATAAACAATTTTAATCGTATTTTAAATAAAACATAATGACACGATATTTGCAAAAATTCTAAATAGCATAATACATAGAAAGATTTATGTATATATTCTATTATTATGATATTTCAATAAATAAATTGATTTTTTCAGATAAACTATTAATTAAAAACTATTGTTATACCGTAATAAAAATTATGAATATTTTGCAATATATATAGTGAATAGTATCAAAATCTTTTTCTAGTTAAATGATACTTAATTCTTAATCTTTCCTAATCTTCTTAATTTTTTTAACCAAGTATTTTTTAAAAAAATAATTCTATTATATCATTATTAAAATGAAATAATAAATATATTATGAATATAGATGTTGAATTGTTTCTTTTATTGACATACAATTTTTCATAAAGTATATGCCATAATATCAAATACTTTCGTGATCAGTATATGTTTTCATTTTGCATAATTTTGCAAATAATGATGTATTTGTTAGATGTGTTAGTTGAATATTTGAACAAGTTTCAGGTGCACAAAAATCCGCAGTTTAGTAATTAACCTCTTGCTTTGTATATGACGTCATGAGTTTCCAGTGTGTAATTGGAAAACGTCATGCAACTTTGAAAGCTATTTATCGCGAATCGTACTCGACAAAAACATGGAAAATTTAAAAAATTTTCATCTTTTTACTATTTTACTTTGCCCGATTTATAAAAGTTTTGAACAAGTTTTGAACGAAATGAAATAGCGAATTTGTCGATTCTACATTTTACGATTAAATTATGAGGCAAGAAGTTAATATTACCAAAACTATATTCGTAATATGATGAATGTATACGCAGATCTGGGGAAAAATTTATTTCAAATTATAATTTAAAAATAACGCTATTTATCATTTGATAAATAATTCAATTGGGTTTTTTATTCGATTAAAAGAATTTGAGATATTTATAATATTTATAATAAGTAAAAATAATAAATATAATGAATTAATTTTTTAAAGAAAGAACGTGTATTTTTTAACGGAAAATTCGTTCCTGAAATAACTTTTAAAATACTGAACAATAAATATATAATATAGTAAGCAATGATATAATAATGCTAGTCAAAAACAAAAAAATATAAATTAGATGCCGTATATTAAAAAATTTTCATCAAAATCAAATAGCAAATGATACGTGAATAATTCATTTCATGAATTAATTTCAAAAATACTTCAGAAATAAACTATTTCTTAAATAATTTTAAAAAGTCTTAAATATCATGATAAGCATATTTCTGTAATAAACGCATAGATATTTCTTCAATATCTCAATAAATCTGGAAAAAGATTAAACAGTAAGAAAGTATCATCAGTCTCTCTTTTTTCCTTTCTTTCTTCTCAAGAATGATATCATACACGCTCCCATCTGTATATAATCGTTCGAGAAAGAAAAACGTCACGTAGATAAGAGATATAAATCGAAAGAGGATAAATCGGTCGGCGAGGAAATTCGATGATCGACGAGGTCGACGAATAATGGAATTTTTTACACGGCGGTGTCGCAATGTTTATGCAGTTATGTAGGTGAATCAAGTTTGGAAATTTAAAATCGGTTTACTGTATTTGCTTCGAGCGGAATCATGGCTGGTAAAACGTGGACGTGTACAGATCGGTCAGAAGCGCGAGTTTCCGCCCGATTTTCGGGCAGTTCGCCGAACCTGCGGTTTCCATTTCGCCGCATCCATTCCCGTCAGCCCTCCTCCAAATGCACCAGCGGCCAATCGGTCATTCTGTATCGAAAGCTCCATATAAAACACTTGGATAGTTTTTCGCGGTCGGTAAACGTTCGCATTCTTCCGCGATGTGTACATTTTCGACGAAAAATTGAAAAAATCGCAGCAAAAAAAAAAAAAAAAGAAAAGAAAAAAAGAAAAGAGCAGATCCGAGAGAATTTTAAGACATTAAAAAGATTATGAAATTGTTGCTTTGACTTTAAAAAAAAAATTAATCGAAAGAATATTTTTTGTCGATAAGTCGACGAGTGCAATTTTCCAAATTTGGAATCTTTCGGAATTTTTTTGTTAACGATAAATAATAAAACAAAATTTATTATCGATCGTTTGTTTATTAGATGCAGGAAAGAAACAGATTCGATTTGCATTCTCATCGCACAAAACAATAAACGTGTAATAAATCGCTCACGTTTTATTTGATATCTGCGTATCGCAAAATATAAGATTTTTTGTTGCAATATGTAATTTTCTTCCGCTTTTGCAAAATCTTCAATTTTCGTTACGAATAAACGAGATATGGCTCGAGATTTAGCTTGTTTTTATATCTAGTATCAGCCCGAACGTTGAATGCATTATCCGCCGTCCAAGTGTTACATTAGAGGAGGGCATTTTTCTTTCTTCATAAACAACAGTTTACCATTTTTGTTGCTCCTTTATTTCTGCCGTTTTCAAATTTAATCGGTTCTCGTGTATCACGTGGAAAATATCTTAGAAGCAAGTTATGTTCCATATATATATATATATACATGAGTACGTCACCGAGTTAGTCGCAAGGGAAAGAAAGGAAATAAAAGTATCGCGAGGTACCAGGAACCAGGCGTCTAGGCGCCATCCTTGAACTAGGTCGGCTAGCGTATCCTGCAAATATTGCTGTTTCGTCGACGACAAATATCGTCGCCTCCTCTCATGAATTGCAAATTAAAGTAGTCTTTTCTTTCTTTTTTTTTTTCTTTCGCGTTTGCCATTATTACCGCGTGGTCGAGATCGAATTTCTTCCAAAAAAAAAAAAATGAATTCGACGAAAATTATTAAGTTATTATAAGACTCTCCCCTCCCTTAACGCGCTTTGCGCGTTAATTTTGAAGTTAATCCTACGGAATCGCGCGATAGAACGATCGAATTTCTCCATCTGCTCGACTTTCGGATATCTGAGAAATCGAATCCCTCCGTTCTTCAGTGCGGAAGAATCAATGGACTCGTGCAAGGAATCACCTCGATATCGCTTCCGCTGCACTCATTTTTCTCTCGGGGTTTCTTTCTCGAACAAATTTCCGGGAAGCGTTCATATTTGACAAGATGGCGAACGATTGTTACATTCTTATTCTTATTCTCGATATTGGAAATTAATTTGGATTCCTTTGTAGAAGAAATTTGGCTATACTTTAAGTTTTTCAGTTTAACAACTTGGATCATGTATTTCAATTTCAAGATGTTTTTTCGTACTCAATGATAAATTGCACGAAATGCTTTTAAATCTGGCCTTGGATTTAATCCTTTTAAACGAGATATACGCGTTGGAATATTCTTTCAGATAACGATTTATGAATCGCGATTTACGTGCAATGTATCTGACCAATATGATATTTGATAATATCTAATTTCGTGGCGGTCGTCCTTGTGAATGGATGATATAAGGTGTATAATGCCATCATTTATTTCTACAGGGTGTTAATATTCGTGAGACACTTTTGTGTAAGATTGATTCTAAAAGCTAAAAATAAAAGTTGATATGTATAAAGTTTGTTCTTAAGTTATAAACAAAATTGTGTTAGACGAAGCGAGATATGTATAAAGTGAAATATCTCTATCTTGATTGGTTATTTTTGTATATAATTTTTCGTTTTGATCTGTAAAATCAACCCTCAAAAAATATCTTATGAATATATTATATACATTTTGTATATTTTGTCAGCTATCTCTACTCGAAGAGCTATCTCTACTTGAAATCGAAATAACAATTTTGAATCTTAGAATTATTATCTCAACTCCTTTGTGAAAGAGATGTTTCATCAGTGTTTCATCATACACTTTCGAAAGTGTATTCAAGTGTAATGACACAAATTTCTTAGCAGGGAAAATTTGGAACGAAAAAAATAATATTGAAACAAATATTAGAAAAAATTGAAAGTATCTTTATAAATTATTCGAAGATATATTATTTTTTATTTAATGGTCTAAATGATAAGCAAATACTATTTACTAATTGGATTCGATAAATGTTAATTTTTAATGCTTAATTGATAATTATGTTCTTTTCATTTCTTATTTT